CCAAAATCTGTTTTCTGGCAGCCCGAGCACTCAGAAGCAAGACTAGACTGTACTAACACATGTGAAATTCACATCTACTAGGCATTAAGGCATAATTCTTTAGGTGGCTCTGCCTGAAGGTCTTCCAGGGGGTCACATCAATGCTGTCTGCACTGGGCAGGTTCAGCTACAGGCAGCATAACCTCACCTCTGTCACCAGCTAATACAAACCCACCAGGTTGAGCCCTGACAAAACAGCCAGCAGTCAACAGTTTACTATGCACAGCACAACCTGCATCCTTTCCTTCATGCCCTGTCCTTCACAAGCAGATGCTGAGCAAAAGGAATCTGTTATATCACCATGTTATATATATATATATATATATATATACATATATATGTTATATATGTAGTCATATCACCATGTTATATGGGGGTTGGAACTTGATGATCTTAAGGTCCTTTCCAACCCTAACTATTCTATGATTCTATGATATATATATACATATATATGTTATGTATGTAGTCATATCACCAACAGATTACAGATGTTTTCAAGTTCAGGGATGGTGACCAGGCTCCATCGCCTGAATCCTACTAAGAGAGTACCAAAAGTCACCAAGTGCCCTATGGGAACTGGTTAATGGTTTGGCTCCAGCAAATCAACCCCTGCTGCAGTGGGTTGTCTACTCCAGAGCTGAGGTTTGCCACAGATACCTGAGCAGCATCACTGAGACGTGTGATATCCTAGAATGTGCTTTGTTAAAGTAACAGCTTCAGTTGGGCAAAGGTTTTTAAATGATTATAAGGTCTATAAAGGTTTATAAATGATAAAAATGAGTAAAAATGTGGCCTTCACATTACCTCTACATCCTTTAGACTTATTAAAGACAGAGCAACACAAATCTCACCTGTTCCAAACAAACACTTCAAACCTGGCACTGAGGGAAAAAAAATGTGTGTTTTATGGTAGAAAATGTAAGATAGCAGCACCTTGTATGGTCTGGAATGTAAGGAACCGAGGCAAACATATGGAATTGAGACACATGCTTAAGTAATTTACTATAAACACAGTATTTTCTAGAGAGTAAAAACTGGGCACTCCAGACTGATAATGGCATGAGGCAAGCAAAAATAAAAGCACAACCAAATGCTCATGCACGTTAGTTGTGGTCTTAAAAGGAGAGGTTTCCTTCGAGTGAGCAAACGGCGATCCAGAATGGAAATAATCCATCTTCCAGTGACTGTCAGAGGAGCACAAACAGGCCCATTATTTATATTCTGTCAGAACAGCAGAGAGACCCTGCTAACAGCTATGGGTTTTCTCAGTTTATTAAAAGAAGCAGCTTTACATGTGGAGAGTGACTCAAATCAGGTTAACTGGAGGGTAAAGCAAGAAGGAACACAGCATTATCTGCAGATTCATTTACTATAACGATGACATTTTAACAACAAAACCCTAAAATACATATGAAGATTTTAACATATAAGGATAATTTAAATCTGAAGTACTTCTGTTTTGCAGACATCATAAAAGTCCGAATAACTCAATTATCAGTGCTTCAACAAAACACGATTTAGTTGGAAAACACATTGGCAGAGGTCAGATATGCAGTACTTCAGTCACACATCCATGCACAGCTATCACACCAAATACTTCTTTCTGTAGTTTTCCACCTATAAATTAACCAGTGTTTCACTTGATAACTTATGCACACAGCTGCATCTGAAGTAAACCCTCTGAGGACAATGTGACCAGCCATGCTTGACCTACACATCCCTACAGGACAAAGACCACCACCATAATACTGTACCTGCTGCGAAAGGGTGAAGGGAGAAGAAATGACTTCATCAAGATGACAAGAGACAGCTTTAAAGATAGGATCACCAGGATTTGTACCTGTTTCAGCAGAGCTTCACCAGACCCCGAGAAGAGGCATCTGTGCCTCATACCCACCTTGTGTGTGGCTCTGCACACCTAAACCTGGCCTCAGTGACAGGGAGACAGCTTTAACCTGAAGCCAAATGGCAGCAAACACAGAGCCAGCATCAATGTCAGCACCAAGGCAAAGGGAACTCCTTAAAGATTACAGGCTTGGGTTTTCAGGACAAACTTTTGCTCAGGGAAATGTTCCAACCACAGTTTTGTTGTGCAATAACAAAAGCAACTCCCACTGGGACGAAGCACACAGTATCTGAAGGGGGCCTATAGGGATGCTGGGGAGGGACTCTTCATTAGGGACTGTAGTGACAGGACAAGGGGTAACGGGTTAAAACTGAAACAGGGGAAGTTTAGATTGGATATAAGGAGGAAATTCTTTCCTGTTAGGGTGGTGAGGCACTGGAATGGGTTGCCCAGGGAGGTTGTGAATGCTCCATCCCTGGCAGTGTTCAAGGCCAGGTTGAACAGAGCTTTGGGTGTCATGGTTTAGTGTGAGGTGTCCCTGCCCATGGCAGAGGGGTTGGAACTGGATGATCTTAAGGTCCTTTCCAGCCCTAACTGTTCTACGATTCTATGACACACCAGGCACATGAGATCTGCCAGCAGATGCTCCCCGGTCCCACTAACACCATCACAACCTTCAGCCTACCGACCCCCATCACTAAAGCAGCTGAGATTGAGCCACCTCTTTTCTGGGGGGCTGGGGGTACACAAAGACGAGGAAGGCACGGAGTTTGATGGGATGACAGAGGATCCTGGCACACAGGAGCAGCGGAGCTTGTGCTGGAGATGGACAAGTGAGCAGAAGCACGCAGCTGGAAAGGAAGGGACTGAAGGAGGTTATCAGAGGGACCACCATCAGTAACAGCAAACCACTGGGTCCACCACTGGTGCTTTGTGCAACTTCATTGTTATTAACTTGGCTTTACAGACCAACTCCATGGCTTGCCCCAGGGTAAGGTCAGTGGTTGGGGAGCTCACTGGTTCCTCTAGCTGAGAAAGCCCCAGACCACAGACATCTCACTTGTTGGGAAGATCTGCACACTAAGAACAGACCAACGTAAGTTCTTTGTCAGACTCACCATCTTTCTTCCATTTCCTGCACCTTCCCATCAAGAGCTATTACAATCACACACAAAGGAGACTTGCTCAGCTCTCAAAGGACACAACCTGCGCCCACCACCACCACCACGCAGCTGGTACCCTGCTCACCACTGCACCAAACAAGCCAATGGTGCGGGCTCAATCTCGCATAAAGCAGGTATAAACTTTTATTTTTAACACCGATGTGAATGTATAATTTGTTCAGATGTTTTAAGCAAGAGAGAGGGGAAAAAGACATAGGAGCAGGTGATAACAACAAGAAAAATCAAAGGTGTGGGCTCATAGGTAACAAGTTCCCACGGAACAAGGGACAGGACAAGAGGAAACGGTCTCAAGCTGCACCAGGGCAGGTTTAGATGGAGCTGAGGAACAATTCCTTCCCCAGAGGGTGCTCAGGCATTGGACCAGGCTGCCCAGGGCAGGGCTGCAGTCACCGTCCCTGCAAGTGTTCACACAGCATGGAGACGAGGCCTCAGTGCCATGGATTTAGGGGTGGTCTTGGCAGTGCTGGGGGATGTTTGCACCTGATGACCTTAAAGTTCTGTTTCAACCTCACTGATTTTATGCATGAAAAATGATGCAGCTGACGGTTTTTTCACTTGCTGCTTCAACACCACAGGACCTTTGGAAAGTGTAGCTCCTCTCCTTCTAGCACTGACCCATCTAGGGTTTGTTTTCTTTGAAAGCAACACACAACTAACTACAGTCTAATAGTCTTTCTTCTTCCTTTGAAGTGGCTTAGAGAGGCAAATAGCTGCCTCACAGGCAATACATTAATAGCAAATAAAACTACACTGCCTTAAACCTCACTGCCTAATTTTACAGTCAATGTTTAGGCTGTATTATCTACAATAACAACAACCGTAAGCCACGCTTCAGCATAACCGGTGCAGTTAAAGGTAACAGCAGTGCTAAAAAAGGCACAAGTTTCACATCAGACTCTTCAGGTTATTCATAATCACTGCTAATAACTTGGTAGTTATTTTGGATAGAAGGACTCATACTTCAAGAGAGTTTAACAGGGCTAATAGCTGCAGAGCCTTGGGTGACATGGTTTAGTGTGAGGTGTCCCTGCCCATGGCAAGGGGCTGGAACTGGACGATCTTAAGGTCTTTTCCAACCCAAACCACTCCGGGATTCTATGATTCTAAACCAAACTTTAGATTTGAGGATGAGCTGGGGCTTTTTTGCAATCAAGCTGCTCTGGAAACCGAGGCAACCCCCACGCACCACCTCTGTGGTCAGAACTGGAATTCTTTTGGGGTCGCAGACAGGATTTAAGGAAATTATTCACGGGTTACATACACGGGATTGCATCAAGCATCCCGGAACTTCAAGAGACAGGGAGCTGGTAGAGAGCAGCAGCCTCCCACTGAACTACATGACCCAGGTGGGCAGAGGAGCCATTCTGTGTCCCTGCACGTACAAAGCATCCACTGCTCTATGTAAATACTATGCAAAGAATCGCATTCTATTTGCTTAACAGCTTATGTGACCGCACGGTCTCACACAGAGCACGATCCTGCAAGCTCCCGTTCCTTACAGGGAATTAAAGCACCCAGGGAAAAGGAGTTTGTGAAGTTTACTTCCATAATTAATCCTTCGCCAAGAGAGGATGCAGACATCAAACCACTCGTCCTGTTAGGAGCTATCTCACGGAGAAAGAGGCTGGAATGCCTACACCAAAGGTGCTAACAAAGGGTGTCCCTATGCCGACGCTGTTTGCGGGATACTGGAACGCCCAGCCCGACGCTTCCCGGGACCGGGACCGTCAACTTCCACCGCGGGCAGGGCACCGCCTGCCCGGCCCCGGCCCCCCACCCCGGTCCGCCGGCACCGCAGAGGCACGACCCGCTCCCACCGGGGACCACATGCGAGCATCACCGAGCCGATTCTCCCCCTTCCGCTCCCTCAGCCCCCCCTGCCCGGGCAGCCCCGCCGGGCTCACGGGGTGCCCCGGCCGCCCCATCCCTACCTTCTCGCTGGAGGAGCTGCGCCGAGGCGGCGAGGAGCGCGGCCAGGAGCGCGGCCAGCGCCCGGCCCGCCGCCATCTCCCCGCATGGGCCCGGCGCCGAAGCGGGCGCGGGTCCCTCAGGCGCCGCCGCCGCCGCTTCCTGCTCCACCTCGCACCTGGAGCGGGGCGGGACGGGCAGGTAGAGCCCCTCCTCTTCCTCCCGGGCGGTGGCGCTCAGCTCGGCTCATCCCATCCCATCCCGTCCCGTCCCGTCCCGTCCCGTCCCGTCCGCTGCCTCCGCCCCGGCGGGGAGGATGGACCCGGCTTGACGTGCTGCGGGCAGCAGTCAATGCGGGAGCCGCTGTTGCTGCTGCGGGGCGTTATTTCGCTTTACCCCTCACTCGAACGTTTTCCCCTTCCCGTTTCCAATGCTATGAGCTCCCACCAAGAGGGGGTTCAAGTTGTGGGCAGCGAGGTGCCCTCGCACCCCTGAGGGTGCCCGCTCTGCTGCCGATGTTGGGTGAGGCGCACCCTGCCTGCAGAAGCACCTCTCAGCTGATGTACGGTCCCATCTACTCACGCATAGGTGGGGGGGGAGACCTTATTGTGGCCTTTCAGTACTTAAAAGGGCTTATAACAAAGATGGAGACGGGTTTTGAGTACATCCTATAGCAGTAGGACAAGGAGTAATGGTTTAAAATAAATGAGAGGAGATTCAGAGATAAGAAGAAAGCTTTTACAATTGGGGTGCTGAGGTGCTGGCACAGGGTGCCCAGAGAAGCTGTGGCTGCCCCATCCCTGGCAGTGTTCAAGGCCAGGTTGGACACAGGAGCTTGGAGCAACCTGGTCTGGTGTGAGGTGTCCCTGCCCATGGCAGGGGTTGGAACTGGATGATTTTAAGGTCCTTTCCAACCCAAACCAGTCTGGGGTTCTCTGGAGGTGCCACGTTTCACACAGAAGAAGGCTCCTCCCAGCATTTTGTACCCTGCTTCTTGAATGTTTGGGAACTTTGCAATGAAAACCTGAGCAGAAACCATTGTGTCGTGGTCAGGAGTAGATGTTTGCCAGGTCAGTAAATGCCTTGCTAACCTCAGGCAGCTCATTTTCTAGTAATTCCCTGCAGTTGCTTTGGAGCATTTGTTTCTTTGGCAGTATCGTTATAAACCCCAGTACTGTTACACCAGCCCACAACAGCACCCGGCTGCTACAGAAATGTGCACAGGAATATTCACATTCAAAGAAGGAGAGAAGGCAAAATGGTGTCAGAAGTGCAAGACCTATTTCAGATTTAAACCAAGCCATAAGGAAGACTGAAGACCCTTTGCTCTCGCTGATTTAAGCTGGTGGTGAGGGTACTCAGCTCTCCTGGGTGATCTTTACACCTCTTGCATAAATAAACCTGTTGTTGAGTGGTCTTCTGCATACTACAGCTTTCAGTCTTTAGATATCTTTATACCTTTAGATGATCTCAAGGTCCTTCCCAGCCCTAACCATGCTATGATTCTACATGGCCCGTGTTCATATGAAAGTAATGAACTGCTTATATCACTGTGGAGAAGTGAAGGGGTGGGAGTTTTACAGCACATGAGGAGGAACAGAACAATTTCTTAGGGGCCCAAATCAATTCTGATGCCATTTCATTAACATAAGGAAACAAGGAAGGGTTAGGGGGGTTATTTTCTCCTATGGGAGAAATAGGAAGGCTTTTGGCCAACTCACAGCTTTTAGTTAATGTTAGTTGTGTCTTACTTCATAAAGTTAAGCACTTTCCCACTTACATCAGATTTATGTTACCTTACAGTTCCTTTGTTTTCCAGATCGAAGCATGGAAACAGTGTGTTAGACTTCCTAAAACGGATGTGGGTTTATGTCTATTGCTATTCTTTATTCTGTTCTTTGTAATTCTGATGTAGGTCTGGCTGCTCTTAGGTTCTCCCCAGTCACTCCTCTGGTCACCAGCATTTCCAAAGGAGCATGGAGTCATGTCATTCTCTTTGTAAGCTGTGTAAGCATTCACCAGCCAGACTGACATCTCTCTGAGGCAGCTCTCTTCTGTTCCCTCTGACTTGGAGATGATGGGCAGAGGGATGGGAGAGTGAGTGCTCCTCCATAGGGTTGAGAGGGTTGTATAAGGACAGACTGGCTAGACACGAGAGTCACTTCCTAGTGGATTTGCACATCTACTGTTGCATAAACAGCGCAGATAGCTGGATTAAGATGCTTAAGATATTTGGCATGGGAAAGCATGCAGAAATGACCACTTCAGGTCATTGACTGTACGCATAACTCTATGGGGAAAGAAAACCACCAACACAAAGCAAGGGCATTTTGCATTGACTTGTTTTTTGCATAAGCCCACCAAAGCTGCTCTATTGCTCCTTAAACTGGGCAGGGGAGAGAAAATAGAAGAAAAGGCTTCTGGTTCGAGATGAGGATGGGGAGAGATCACTCTGCTATTACCATCATGGGCAAACCAGGTTTGACTTGGGGGAATTGGGTTAATTTATTACCAATCAAATCAGGGGAGGACGATGATAAACAAAGTAAAATCTTAAACCCACCTCCCCTTCACCCCTCTCTTTACACATCTTTTAACCAAAGTTTCCTTGGAAACAGCTATCAGCGCTCCCTTCAGTGTATTTTCTTGAGAAGGTGAATATTCTTGTGTCACTTGCTGTCACTTTGTCCATGTGCCTGTTTTGGCTGATGCAGCTGCTGAACAATTCCCAAAGTTGCTCTTTTTATTGAAGATGAATAATTTGGTTTTAATTGTTCCATCTTTCTTTTTGTGTGTGTGTGTGCTTAAGACATTTCTGGTTTTCCCCTCTTTTTGATTATGCTTGTACATTGACAGTGATGGGAAGGGTCTTGATTTAGAATCATAGAATGAACCAGGCTGGAAAAGCCCTTTAAGCTCACCCAGTCCAACCGTTCCCAGCACTGCCAAGGCCACCACTAACCCATGGCACTGAGGCCTCGTCTCCACGCTGTGTGAACACTTGCAGGGACGGTGACTGCAGCCCTGCCCTGGGCAGCCTGGTCCAATGCCTGAGCACCCTCTGGGGAAGGAATTGTTCCTCAGCTCCATCTAAACCTGCCCTGGTGCAGCTTGAGGCCGTTTCCTCTTGTCCTGTCCCTTGTTCCTTGGGAGCAGAGACCGACCCCACCTCACTACAACCTCCTCTCAGGCAGTTGTAGGGAGCGATCAGGTCCCCCCTGAGCCTTCTCTTCTCCACACTGAACCCCCCAGGTCCCTCAGCCGTTCCCCATCACACTTGTGCTCCAGGCCCTGCACCAGCTCCATTGCCCTTCTCTGGCCCCACTCCAGCATCTCAATGTCTCTCTTGTACTGAGGGCCAGAACTGAACACGGGATTCAAGGCATTTGGTCCTAATATAGGTTAAATATAGAAGTATTTGGTCCTAATGTGGGATAAATATGAAAGCGTTTGTAAGCAGACCTATGAACTCAGGCTGGAGGTGAGCTAGAGCAGCAGACATCATTTTGCATTCCTCCTCCCTCTTCTACAGTCATTGTCTTAGAAAAGGACAAGAGTTGGGCACATCAGATTTGCAGGTCAGCCCTACTGGATCAGCTTCCTATGGTATGTGAGTCTATGGACTGAAGCTCACAGAGACTGAGGAATAATTGCCTCTGCCATCAATGGGCAATGAAAGCTCCATCAAACCTGACTAATTTGGCTTTTACCTCTCATTAGCTTAATGTGCAGTGCCCTGGTCCAGCTGGAAATGGTGTAGAAAATCAGAAGGCTTAATCCTTGTTAGCATTATTTGTTGGTTTTATTGCATTCTTCTTAGGCAAGACTTTAAATGCTTTTAGCAGCCACTTCACGAGCTGGGTATCGTCCTTCAGTGGTGAGCTTCACTGACCACAGTGATGTTGATACACTGCTGAGGCAGAGCGGGCCTTAGTCATCTTGGAAAGGTGAATTTAGCCAGGGAATCCAGAGATAAAGATGCGATAAAATGAGGAAAAACATGTACGTGCTGCTTAGTCAAAAGTATTCCTCTGCTTTGTCTGTGGGAGTCATATCCTTTGCCTGGAAATGCCCTATAAATTACAGAGTCAGTTAGAAGAAAACACTGAAAATCTATAAATAGAAGCAGAAGAATTCTAAACCTCCTTACTTTTGAGGAGCAAATCTCCCACTTCAGCTTCTTTACCCCCACATTCAGTGTGTGTAACGCACCTAAATGAAAACCTCAAAGACAGAGGTTTTCCTCTGTCTTTCCAGTGCTGTTCCTGCCAATAGTTGTCAATGAGACGTTCAGCTCTCTACTTTTTTCCCACCTAGAATGAAATCATTCAAGGGATAACCATACAGGCAGCTGTATGGGCACAGACCCCCATGGTCAGCCTGGGGACGATGTCCAATAACCTCACACGGAGAGAGACACGCGTAAATGTGCTCTTTGTCCCAAGGAGAGAAAGTTCACTGGAGTAATATTTAGGTTGGTTGTTTCTAACCCTGTGCTGTCAATGGCAAACCAAGCTCAGATAATCCTGAAATGATGGGGTGTGTATTCAGTGCAGATGTCCATGAGGCAGGTGGTACCAGAGCTGATGCAGGCTCAAAGGGAGTGATCAAGATGCAGTTGATGGTGCTTGAAACGCAGCTGCTGTATGAGATAGCATTTGCTCTCGCTGTGTAAACCAAAGCAGCTTTCAGCCAGCTGTGTGACACTCATCCAGCTGCCCAAAGAGCACCAGATGGGTACCCTGTGCTGGGGAGATGTAGGGCACTCACTGGGTATTCCAGCTGAATTTCCAAGTATTTCATCTCTGTTATTAAACAGATCAGGTCAAGCAGCTGCTTTATATATTGTGGTCATGCCTAAGGACCATATGTAACATGGGCAGCTTCACCCTTGGCCAGCACTGACAGCCAGCCTTGCTCCACAGAAATTGCAAATCCATAAGCAAAAGGTAGCAGAGACTGGAACGGAGAAGAGGATCTGTTAGAGGAAACAGAACCCAGGGCTGTTGGTGTCTGTACACATCAGACAGGGGTGAACATAGCTGTGATATATTGGGATCTGACGTACTGGTGTAACTGGTGTGCACTGGCTCTCTGGTTCTGCTGCAGCTGAGAATACCAATCAAGGAATCATAGAACCCCAGACTGGTTTGGGTTGGAAAGGACCTTAACATCATCCAGTTCCAAACCCCTGCCATGGGCAGGGACACCTCACACCAGACCAGGTTGCTCCAAGCCCCTGTGTCCAACCTGGCCTTGAACACTGCCAGGGATGGGGCAGCCACAGCTTCTCTGGGCACCCTGTGCCAGCGCCTCAGCACCCTCACAGGGAAGAGCTTCTGCCTTAGATCTAACCTGAACTTCCCCTGTTTCAGTTTGAACCCATCACCCCTTGTCCTATCACTACAGTCCCTGATGAAGAGTCCCTCTCCAGCATCCTTGTAGCCCCCTTCAGACACTGGAAGCTGCTCTGAGGTCTCCACGCAGCTTCTCTTCTCCAGGCTGAACAGCCCCAATGTTCTCAGCCTGTCTCCATACAGGAGGTGCTCTAGACCCCTTATAATGTACAACATCTGCTTCCCCATGCTGGAAGCTCAGCTCAGCGTGAGCTGAGTGAGGAGAATGGTAAGCCCAGTCTTGCAAAAGCACAGGAAATATGGCATTTGTCAGCCCTACCGAATCCCATGGGTATTTTCTTCACTATCTGAAGCTCATTACTGGAATAGAGAGTGAGCTGCCTCCTGAGGCAGGCCTGGAAAGGTGTGATAGCATATTCATTGTTTAAGCTGGTTTCACTTACCATGCTTTAGGGAAGTGCTCTATGTCCCTCGTACAGTAGTTGCATCGTGCCAGCAGACCCGGTTAGTACTAAGGAAAGACCAAAGAACTTTCTACGTTCCCTTGTCTCTGTCCAAGAGAACCAAACTTACTATTACCTCTGCTTCAATCCTAGCAGGCATAGCCAGCTATAGTAATATGGCACACGGCGTTCATGGGATGAGACACCTCTCTGCTGTTTGTGGCCACTGTGTGGAGGAGGAGAAGGAGTTGGACTCTCGTAACTACCTCAACAAACATGGAAGGAGAAGGGATTTTTATTGCCTGCCAACAACAGCCCCACATGTTGTATTATGGAAGTGTGAGCCCCAGCAACCTTCCCCACTGCTTGGGGGAAGAGGCTAAGGAGGAGCAGGGGAAGGGAGCAAACATAAATGCCAAGGTGCAAAGAAGTCAGGCCCCCTTCTGATAAATGTAGGTATATACTTAGATAACTTTGTAATCAGCGTGATCAGTGTGGCACTGACACTGGCTCTAGTCCATTAAACCCTCTGGGCACAGGATTAAGTCCGTCTCTGCAGGATAGAACAGAATTTCCTACATTAAAATGGAATTATTTGCATGTATTTAAGTCCCGTTGCTTTTGAGTTCGGCAGTTGCTTAAGGCTGTTCTTGAAATTCGAGTTTCCTGACTTGAAGTGTATCTGTGCTGAAAAACACCCATTTGCTTTATTTGGGAGCTACTTATTGCACTGTTTAGCAAGGATACTTATGGGGCTAACCTATCATTGCAGCTCTTCATGACTTGTCATAATATATACATTATTGCTCATCATAAAAGAGGAAAGAAACAGGCCCAGCTATAATAACGACCCATGGAATATTCTGGAGTCCCCCAGTCGGTCTTCCATAGGCTGAAGTCATGCAGCACATCATTTTGGCCAAAAGCTTCATTCTTTCCAAGCTCTTCCTGGTGGTTAGGTGGATTGTAGGAAGCACAGGGGCTGCTTACAGCCCTTGAATGCACACCCTGGTTAGTGATAGAGTAAGAGTGAGATTCAGCAGGGCTTTGAGCAAGTTACATGTGCAAAGTCTTACCCTGCAGTCTTTGCCTGAGTCTTCACCGGTGGGGCTGGATGGAGCAGCAAAGCAGAGAGGGGATGTGGAAAGCTGCACCCTGAGCAAAGAAGGCGATGGGGACCCTGCCCCTGGCCACTGCTCATTCTGTACAGGTTACGGATTCACCTAAAGGTGAAGAGTGGGATTTGCTTCCAGAAACAGTCATCTTGGAGTTGTACATTTGGTTTGGTTTTGGTATGAAGTTATTGTTTTCTTCTTGCTCGCATTTTAAAGGGAGTTTTCCCAGGAAAAAGAAATAGAAGCAGGACTTCATGAGAGGCTGCTATGCAAAATGCAGGGGAAGAAAAAACATCTGCAAGCCAAAGTGGCTGGATTGTGTCCATCTGCTCCCAAATGGTTGTCAGGGGTGGTTCAGCATAAAACATTACCATGTGAGACGTTGTGGCCTGAAAGGAATAACCTGCTTGCGTAGGAAGAGAATGCTCATCATATGTCACACAGACAGGCAGAGGAGACAGCAGGGACAGTCTAGAGGCTTGGGCACTTCTAAGCCTCTGGGAAGAAACCCAAGTTTTTGTCAGGGAGAAGTCATATTCCATCATCTTTATCTGTTGCTGAGTGAAATCATAACAAACCAGCTTAACAGCAGGAACATTCCGCAGTGGGTAAGGACTGGTTATTTATTGCATACGTATCCTTTGTCGCTTTATACAGACATCTCTGGTACAGATGTTCAAGCTCTGATAAAAGATATAAATAGTGTGTGTGGTAAACAACTTGTAGAATAGGACAGTGCTACGGAATAACACAAATGCCCTATGGATGCTTAGCAGAGACAGCGTGAGTCACATAAGGGAATCCATGGGGAGACCAGCACTTCCCCATGGCTCTCACGCTGGCATATGTAATGGGTCCTTTCTGTAAGGGAGCTATTAGTGATGTGCCTGCACTCTTAGCTGTCCTGATGCAAACATAGTGAAGTTGGGAAGAGCTTGAGACAGTGAGGTTTCCCCCTTGAGCTGCACTACAGCTTCCTTAGGAAAGTGAATCAGGTGCTTTCTGCATAATAGTCTGCCTTTAAATGGGTTGTGTTAGGTACTGAAATGAGCCAGTTGACTCAGACACCAAATGTGCCTGGCACTGATGGTCCTTTCATCATGGATTTATAAAGCTCCCAAGCAGGGATTTTCTGTTGGCAGTCATACCCAGTCCCACTCTGGCAACATATTTGTCATCTAAGGTGGACAAGGGTAGGCCCTGTCCACTAATCACTAATGATCAGTGATTAAAGACCATTGGGCTTTAACGAGACTTTGTGGTCTTGCTGCAGGTGCAGCTGCAGCAGATGGTCCAGGAAAACTGCAGCTAAAGTTCTTATTCCACACATAAAACTGCTAAGGCTTTCCTGGAATGTTGAATGAGGAAGAAATGAGCATTTGCTGAAGCTATTTTAACTTATGTAGAATGTATCCAAAAAATGAGATTCTGCCCTACAGGATAACGTGAAGCGTTAACATTTGGTTTCAACTGAAAAGTGTGCACTTAGATCACCAAAGCCTTGGAGAGCTGGACATGATGATGTTGCATTTACACTTGTTCAAGTGGCTTCTAACGCTGCTGTGATGATTTGCGCAGGTTTCAGGGTGCCAAGCTAAGAGGCTGGCATCTAGATTTGAATTTGGTTCTCTAGGAATCCATGGCGTGCATCCTAACTGGGGTTTGTAGGAACAAAGCAGGATATTTAACAGCCTGCTCAGGAATGGGAGCAGTGCAGTCAGTCCTTAGACTTGGCAGTAATTAGATGTCTTCCCATCACTTCCCACCCATCCTCACCATGCCCCTCTATAGCCCTGCTCTTTGGTGGGGTGAATGAACTTAGTGGAGAACTTACTGGGCTGTACTGGGTTTTGTGTCTTTAGATCCTTGTATCTTAGATCCTGCTGGTTGAGAGCTGCATTGCGTTGTGCAGATGCAATCTTAGCCCTTCTGTGCCTCGGTTGCCAAATGCTTAACAAGGAAAAATAGCAACACCTTTTTCATCAGTGATGAAAGACATTGAAAACTGGGGGTGTGGGGCTGGTTCTCTGATGCTGTGGCAATAGAGATTGTGTAAGCGTGAGAAATTGTACTGTTGGTTGAAGCTGTTGACTTCAGTATGCCTCTTGTTCTCAAAAGCAGCTGGAGAGGAGGCTGCTTTACCCTCTGGGGAATGGAG